CGGGGGTGAGCGGGCCCCCTTATTTTTTTTTTTTTCCTCTCTTCTACGCTGTTTTTTGTTGTCCCTTCTTTCCAATTAAAGACTTGTGGATGTGGGGGATGACACCTGCGGAGAGAAGAGGAGGAATCCCGTCAGACTCTTGAGAACTTCCCAGAAAGCTCCGAGAAACCCTCAGCTCCCGGATGAGTTTCGCAACAGCGTTTCCTCCCGCTCGATGGATCGCCCCGTTGGATCCGGGAAAACCGCGTGCCTCTGGATTTATCACCAAATTCTCATGTATTTTCCCCATATTGTTTTTCCCCCACCCCCCCGCAAAAATTCCCAGTTTGGGACAGGAACGAGGGAAGGGGACCCACCTCCACCGGCAATGGTGGCTTTGATCAGGGAATCCAACTCTTCATCGCCGCGGATCGCCAGCTGCAAGTGACGGGGAGTGATCCGCTTGACTTTGAGATCCTTGGAAGCGTTGCCCGCCAGCTCCAGCACCTGCCGAGAAATCGGGAAGACGCTCGGCATCCCGAGGGAAACGACCATTTGCTTTTTTTTCCCCTCCCCGAGGGACGAAAGCGCAGGCGGGGACCTACCTCGGCGGTGAGGTACTCGAGGATGGCGGCGCTGTAGACGGCAGCGGTGGCTCCGCCTCGCCCGTGGCTGGTGGTGCGAGTCTTCAGGTGTCTGTGGATCCGGCCCACCGGGAACTGGGGGTGGGAGCGACCGACACCTCGTTAACTCCTGCAGCCCCCCACGCATTTGCATAATTGCACCGTATACCATTGATTTGGGCCCCAAAAGATTCCCCACCCCGCGTGTCTGCGGCTCCCAGGAGCTCCTCTAACGGCGTTAATGTGAGCGTGGCCGGGGGAGCCGCAGAACCGACGCGACAGCAGGTCCTCCCCACGTGCTTCCCGGGGGATTTCATGGTAATCATCCCAATTAATCCTCACACCCTCTCTGCAGGGAGGCAGATCCTACCGGAGTCAGGACACGGCTGGAGCAAACAGCCCCCGCGAGCCCACGGCTCCTCATCACTCCATAACACCACAAATCACAAAATGTTATGTTTTCACCCCAAAAAACCCAGGGGTTTGATGTCACCCGCCCGCCAGAAGTTGCAGTTTTACTCAGAAATTCACGGTTTACGATGAGCTCGGGGCACCATCGCGCGCGCTGGGCCGTACCTGCAGCCCGGCTCTCTGTGAGCGCGACACTGCCTTCGCCTTGGCCTTCCCGCTGTCCTTTCCCGCCTTGCCACCAGCCTGCAAGAGAGAAACCAGCTTATTAATTAACCTTAATTAACCCAGACAGACCTACCACGCCATAATCCAGCGGCAAACACGCTCTCTTCTGCTGCAGGAAACCTTTTGGCCTCTCAGACGACGCGAAACGAGGTGAATCCGAGGGAACAAGGGAGGTTCGAGGGGTACGTTATCGCCCCGGGCGTCTCTCTCTCGTCTCCTGCTACCGCTATTCCCATTATTTCCCGGAAAACGCCAAACGTGGGGAAACCAGCCCGAAGAACCCTCCCAGACTGGTGTTCTCCACTCTGAAGGCGGGCGCTGACACGGGCCGCACAGCAGGGTACGGTTTCCGTACATGGGAATTGGCAGCCCAGGCCTGCAGGATTCAAGGGCAATTCCCTTCCTGCTCCGGAGCGGAAGATTATCAGGGAGCCCCAGAAATCATGGATTTAATGAAAATTGTGTTGCTAATTGGGTGGCTAAAACCCTGAAGCGCGAGAGTTTGGAAGGCACTGAGAAATGAGGACGAGCTGCAGCCGGGTTTGCCGGGCTCTCGCACGTCGGCCTTGAGGAACCGGATGGATTCAGGGGACATTGAAACAAACTGTGACATCACCCACAGCTAACAAGCGCTGCCTCTGACGACGGTGACAGCAGCAGGCAGCACGGCAGGACAGCCAGAAAGAGCCTGCAGCACCTCTGATGCGCAAGACCACGTTACCAACCCAAAACCTCGTCCAGCTAAGAAATAACAGCAACTTCAACCCCCAAACTCAGTCTCCCGGCCCGTGATGAGGGGGGAAGCCCCCCCCCAGCCACTGCAACAGGAAAGCAGAGCCCTAAAACACGCTGGGTATTGGTAATCCCCGCTGGCACCCCACCA